CGCGGTGCAGACAGACCCAGCTCTCCAGGACCTCACTGAGCACGGGAACGCGAAAGCTGCACGTGCAGCAGCGGCTTCTGTCCTGTGCCTGGGTTCATCCTCACAGGGATTTGAGAGGACTAGGACTCAGCTCCCTCGCTTGGGGAGTGACAGTGATTTGTGGAGAACTCCTAGGGCTGAGTGAGCCAGTAAGGACCGCAGTGTGTAAGCGTGTGTGTGTGTGTGTGTGTGTGTGTGTGTGTGTGTGCGCGCGCGCCAAGAAGTCAACATCAAGACTCTCCCTCATCACTTCTCATCTTTTGTTGTTTTGTCTCAAACTGTGTAGAGAGTTGAGGCCTCATTTGCATCCATCCAGTTTGCATATTCATTGGTGTCTTACTTATTCAGCTCACATTTGGGCAGTCATGTTGGTGACACTTTGGGGGGTTGGGGGGGGGTAGAGAGCACACCCAAAATTGCCTGTTCGGAGCCAAATTGTCAACGCTGAAAAGATACATAAAGGAAACATCATACAGACTGAACAGGTTATATTTAGGAATATATGCGTTTTAAACGTACGTATATGCATTCAATAATAATTAGGTTTTTCTTAAGAAGCCATGAATTTGAAGGAGAACAGGGAGGGGTGTATGGGAGGGCTTGGAGGGAGGAAAAGGAAGGGAGAGGTGTTGTAATTAAATTATAATCTCAAGGCCTGCTGGTAGCGGCACATTCCTTTAATCTCAGCACTCAGGAGGCAGAGTCAGGCAGATCTCTGTGAGTTCAAGGCCAGCCTGGTCTACAAAGCTAGCTCTAGGGCAGCTAAAGCTATACAAATAAACCCACATCTTGAAAAACTATTTTTTTCTTTTTATATTATATATATATATATATATATATATATATATATATATATATATTAGAACAGCTGGATGGGATTCTCTCAACTGCTGATTTTTCAAGAAATTTTCAAAGGAAACATATAACTATAATCATCATCAACAAAATGACACATTTGACATCAAAACACTGATGTTTTCAACCTTTCACACTACCATACCTCTGCTTGCTGAATATGTGTGTGTGTGTGTGTGTGTGTGTGTGTGTGTGTGTGTGTGTGTGTGTAAAGAAGGGGTCTGAGCTGGCCAGTAAAGCCCAGGGAGTCTGCCTGTCTCCGCCTTTCCAGGGCTGGGATTGCAGCAATAATGCCACACCTGGCTTTTTTTTTTTAACTTGGGTGCTAGGGATCAAATGCAAGTCCTGCTATGCATGCAGCAAGCATGCTCTGTACTGAGCTATCATCACTGCCTGAGAACACATGTTTAGCTCATGCAGATGATTAGACACCAAAAACAAAACAGAACAACTGCAATGGGTTTGTCATATAATAACCTGTGATTAGATAGGAAAGGAGAGCTAGCATAGGGGGCTCTGGGGTGCTAAGCAAGAACCCCTGGCATGTAGCACATGATGCTTATGTGTGGACTTCCTGTGGGCTGCCACCTTCAGGAAGTGGGCAAACCTCTGGGCCTGGAGAAACTGTAGAGGTGAGAGGACCAGATGTCTAGGATTGAGTCATCAACCATGTTACCATCATTCAAAGCTGTAGTGGCTGTGCCTGGGCCTGGAGAACACCTGCTTGCAGAATATTTTTCAGCTGCTGTTTCTTTAGGAAGTTTCCAAAGGAAACATGACTATAAGCATCAACAGGATGACAATCATTTGTCATCTAAAACACTGATGCTTTCAAGCTTTCACGTTACCATTCCTCTGCCTGCTGGTTACTAAATTACTAAAACCACAAACACAAATTTAAAAAAAACCATCACTTTGTTCCCATAACATGTCATCACACGGTGAATAATGGGATCTAAACTACAAGGAATTGTTTTTGAGGGGGAAGGGTGGCACATTGATAGAGTGCTTGCCCAGCATCCATGACACAGTCCCTAGCATCTCACAAGGAGATGTGTCAGACAGGGCCTCTTCTGCCCAGTGTGAAAACTAAACAAAATCTTCGGGTTGGTTCTTCCTTTGATTTAAAAAAAAAATAAAAAATGTAGTTATTAAGCTAGTAAGGCAGGTGGTGGTTGTGAACACCCTTAATCACAGCACTCTGGAGGCAGAGGCAGACAGATCTCTGTGAGACCTGCCTAGTTTACAAAGTGAGTCCAGGATAGCCAGGGCTCTGCTGCACAGAGAAGCCCTGTCTTGAAAAATCAGAGAAAGAAAGGAAGAACGAAAGAAAGAAAAAAGAAAAATTAATTGATTGATTAATTAATTAAAAATTGGGGTTGGAAAGATAGGTCCTAAGAGCCCTGGTTGCTCTTTCAAATCATCTAGATTCAGTTCCCTGCAACCACGTGGTGGTAACTCTCTTTTCTGGCATCTTCCAGCACCGTACACACCTGGTCACAGACACACATGTAGGCAAAACACCCTTATGTATAAAATAAATATTTAAAATAAAACTTTAAAGGTATTAAACCTGAAAATTTCCCTGTGTGTGGAGAATTTCAGATATAGACCTCAGAAAAAAGCAGTCAGCCCTAAGCAAAGGAACAGAGGAATTAACTCAAGACAAAAACAGATATGATATTTATAGAAAGAAAAGACATTGAACAACTAACATTTTAAATTACATGATTTCTTTTTGCTGTGTTCATCTTTTTGCCTGGGACTTAAATTCTTGAGAGTGGTGAACTTTTACTTAGTCATTTGTCGACCATCAAAATGTTTGGAGAATGAATTGTAAGTTACACTGTTTTTGCTTCCTCTTCAAGTGACTTTAAACAAGATTAGAATGCAAAGCTACTTCTTTCAGTAATTATTTGTATTTGAACTAACTGTGCTTCCCCTCTCCCACCCCAATCTCCCAACTCCTATCCCTTGACAGGTTTTTTCTGTGCATAGCCTTGTTTTTCCTGGACTTGATTTGTAGACTAGGCTGGCCTTGAACTCACAGAGATCCACCTGCCTCTGCCTTCCTGAGTGCTGAGATTATAGGTTTGAGCCACAATACTTGGCTTGAACTAACTCAGAATGTCTCCTTTTCTCTAGAACTTTGCCCTTTTGGAGCCAACTACCTTGTTAAAGTGGGGATTAGTGTATAATTCCTTCAGTTTGAAAATGAAAGGTGAAGCCAAAAATAGTTAACTGGAAGCACACACTATCAAGAGATTTCCTTCCTTTTCTTTTTTCTTTCTTTTTTTTTAACACACAGCATCTGTCTCTCTACATAACTCTGGCTGTCTGGTTCTCATAATGTAGACCAGGCTAGCCTCCAATTCATAGAGATTCACCTGCCTCTGCCTCCCAAGTGCTGAGATTAAAGGCATGCATCACTGCCTTTAATCAGGATTTTTCTGAACTCTGGAGCCTGTTGTGACACAATTATTATTTAACACCCTCTTCCCTTGTTCTTCTTCTTTGCCCAGACATTTATTTATTTATTTATTTATTTATTTATTTATTTATTTATTATCATTTGCTTGTTTGTTTGTTTAGACATCCAGACCTTTGGCATCCTGGGCAAGTGCTCTTCCACTTGACTATGTCCCTAGCTCAGGCAGTGAATAATTTCTTTAGAGACAGGGTCTCACTGTGTAACCCTGGCTGGCCTGGAACTCACAATGTAGACCAGGCTCCCTCTTAATTTATGGAGATCTGCCCGCCTCTAAGAAGTAATTTCTGTAAAGCACAATTTGGGTTTGTGATGAATTACTCTAATTTCAGTACTGGTGTTTCAAATATGATTCCATATTTTGTAATTTCTTAGTGAAATGACACACCAAACATTACCCCAAGACACAAATATACTCAATTCAACACGCAGAGAACGTCAGCAAAATATAACTCATTCTACACTAAAAATCACATCAGAAACAAAACAAAACAAAAAAACTTCAATACCAAGTTATGAAAATTAGATACTTTATTTATAGCTTAATCACAAAACAATTTTCTTGCTCTTCAAGATGTAAATACATACTAGAATAAACTCTGTAGAATATACAAAAAATACATACTTTTCCCATGAAATTTTTCTTCAAAATAAATAGAAGGGAACACGCGTGTGGCTGACCCTGGTAATGCCCCGTGTCTGCTTAGGTTTTCAGACTGTTGATTTATTTTTAATCTCCTGAAAGGATGGGGGAGTTCCTTCTCCCCTAAAAGGTCGAGATAAATAATGCATGAAGCAATCCTCCCTCCCGATTTTTCCCTTTTCCTTCACATTTTTCCTTTTGATAGAGAGTTCAGCCTAAATTTCCACGCTTGCATTCAATCCTTACAAAAGCCTACAAATTATACAATGACTTCTAACCTGGCCCTCTAACAAAACAAGTTTTTCCCCTTATAAATCATAAGAGACAGATGGCAAAATGGAGAAAAAAAGGAAAGAGAAGGGCGGGACAATAGGCATTGTGACGAATCTGGGAAAACGAACAAAGTGCACATCAGAGAGGGAAAGTTTGGTTTGACAGGTGAAATTCCCACAGCCTGCAGACAGCAATGGGAATAGAGCAGATGCCAGCCATTGCAAATGTGTGGATAATATTATTACCGGTAAATTCATTCAGATGCTAAGATACATTTCTTTCGACTGACATTAACATCTCTATGTAGAAACGAAGGTGAAAAGATCACAGGGACCAGTTGCGTTCCCTCTGCGAGATTCACACGAACTGCTGTGCTGGACTTGTCCTCCAGCAGCTCAGAGAGGGGAGGAGCGTCAGGCCGCTCTGCAAACTTTTAGTTGTTTAAGGCCCCGTCATCTTTTCTCCGTGTCTTTACAGTCTCACGAAGTCCCCCCTCCCCGTGTTCCCGCCCCACCCCAACCCCGCACGCCACAATCATCTCCGATCATAAATCCTCACATCTTCCATAAATCAGAGCAGGTCTCCCACAGCCGAAGGCGACGACTACGTGCGCACTGCGGGGTCTTGGGCGTGGAGGGTGGGGGCGGGAGAAGGGTGGGAGGAGAGGCAGGTAGAGGACGAGAAGGGGGGAAACCCGCGGATCTAGATACAGTCCCTGGCCAGGGGCAGGTGAGGTGCGTAACGGTGCTTATCCGGAGGCGGGGGCTGCCAGTAGTCCACGTCCGACCCGGGGCTAGCGGGCGATAAAGTGCAGCTGTAGGGCGACGTGGAGTTGGAGGAGGACGCGGGGCTGTTGCTGCAGCTCCAGGAGGAGGAGGAGGAGGGCGAAGGGCTGTCCCCGCCGGCGCCCAGCGCGGCTCCGGGGCTCAGCAGCACGGCCTCGGAGAAGAGCGCCCCCTGGAGGCCGCCGCCGCCTCCGCCCGCGCAGTGGTCCGCCAGGCGCAGGGTCTCGGTGAGCGCCCAGATGTAGTTGTGGGCGAAGCGGAGCGTCTCGATCTTGGTGAGCTTGGCGTCCTCGGGGAACGTGGGCAGCACCTCGCGCAGCGCGTCCAGCGCCGCGTTCAGGTTGTGCATGCGGTTGCGCTCGCGGTTGTTGGCCTTCAGCCGGCGGGTCTTCTTGATGCGCTGCACCGTCTCCGCCGTCTTGGCGCCTCGCGAGACGGCCCGAGCGCGCGACGGGCGCCGCTTGCACTCGTGCACCAGCCCCAGCAGGCGCGCCGGCCGGCAATCCCCGGCGCCCGACGCCGAACCGCCCTGTCCCCCCTGCCCGCCTTCCGCCCCGCGAGGCCCACGCGCGGCGCCCGGCCGCCGCAGCTCCTCCTCTTCCTCCTCGTCCGCGCTGGACGACATGGGAGTCAGGGTCGCCGAGGCCGGGGAAGCCGAGCCCAGCAGCATCAGCACCTCCTCCTCCTCCTTCAACTCCAGCGTCTCGGCTTTGACGAACATCCTGCGGGAGAGGAGGCGGGTGAAATTCAGTCCCAGGAACAGACGGGTGGAAGCGTCGCGGGCGCGCGCCCCCGCGGCGTGCACGCGCGGAGACGGCGACGCCGGAGCCCTGGGCTCCAGCCGCCCGCTGGCCGTGTGCTTTGCGGGTTCCGGGAGCGCCCCGAGCCCGGGCGGGGGGAGCTGGGAGCCGCGGCGTGCCCACTTACCTGCTCGGCCCCAGAGGCGGGCGCGGCGCGGCTGCTCGCTCTGGCGCGGGTCCGGGAACGGGGCTGGGCGTCCTTGGCGCCGCGCTGGCTGGGGCGCTTCCTCGGGCGCAGCTGTGCGGGGGGCCTCTCCGCTGGGGCGACTCTGCCAAGAGCCCCCGGCGACCGCGGCAGCCCGCCCCGGCTCTCGTGTGTGGTGGTGCTCGTGCGTGTCTGTCTGTCAGTCAGTCCCCCTGGCCGTGCGGCGGCTGGCACGCGACTCCCGGGCACTCCAGTTAAAGGCGAGCTGCTTGTGGGTTCAGTGGCTGCGTGTCTGGCACACGACTCTCCTTAAAACCCCTTATATACCACCAAGAAAACAATCAGCTCTGCCCCGGGGCCCCCCTCCTCACCTACCCTCCCCCCCACCCGCCCTCCCCTCCTCCGCCTTCCTGCACCCCCTGGTCCGCCCACCCCCCCGCTCTCCCTCCCCAGCTCCTTCTTTTCATCGTATTATCATCACTCATTTCTTTCCCTTTCTTTAGCCCCTCTCCCCCTCCCCTGGCCCGGCCATCCATCCATCCTCCTCCTCCTCCTCCATCACCCCCGCCCCCCGTCCCCCCCCCCCCCCCCTTTATCTAATCAGCATAAAATGGTTCTAAAGCTCCCGTTGGCGCTCCAGGCTGCAGCCCAAGCTCCCGAAGCCGCGGCGGCGGCGGCGGCGGCGGCGGCGGTGGCTCAAGCTGCGGCTGTTGTCGCCGCCGCTGTCTATTGTGATTGGTGGCTCGCGCTCGGCTGGAGCGTGCCGCTAATTTATTAATGAAAGGAGGTCGCGAGGCGCAGCTGGCCAATCAGTGTCCCCGGGACTCCGGGAGGCCTGCGAGCCACGCGCACCGGAGCCCGCTCCTTTTCAGCAGCTCATTAGGGGCCCGAGCACTGGGGGCCCAGGACGGGGGTGGGGGTGGGGGGAAGGGGGCACCCGATTACTGCTCCCGCCCTGGTCCTCGAGGCAGCAGGGGCTGCCCCTGCCGGGAGGCGCGCTCTCGCGTCCTACTTGTCTCTCGGAGCGGGAGACCAGAACCACGGAGTTAGTTGATGGGAGTCAGGATGCCGGAACCGGCCATCTCTCGGCAAAGCCTCTTTGGGGCTTTAGCAAATAGACCGTGTTCTAAACCGCCCTGGTTTGGTTAGGAAAGGGAAGGGGTACGTTTGTGTGAGCACTTTGTGAGGGCGTGTGTTGGAGGTCTGGAGAAACTCCTGTCTACCGGGCTAGGGGACTCTAGGAGTTCACAGACACGTCCCCTTATAGGAGGGGAGATCGGTGGGCGAGCGGTTGTTGGGCGTTTAAAGAAACAAACGCAACTCATTTGGCACACTCATTTTACCTGAGGCACAGCGAGGCCTGATGCGCTGACAGAAATTGGGGGCTTCTGCTGTGGAAGGGGGGCGGGTATCAACGACAGGTTAGAGCCAGGTGATTCTGTAGGATGGCTTCCTGTGTGGGCGGCAGAGGCAGGAGGGCTGCCGCTCCCAGGAGTGAGTGGGACACGCTGACACTTGCGTGACCTCTGCTCCGCTCTGGGGGGCATCGTTGGGACATGGGGCCCCGTCCTCCCAGCTCTTCTGATTTTTTAATGAGAGGAGGAGAACCCCACCGGACTTGAGAGGAACCTTGTTCTGAAGTGCAGCCCTCCCTCCTTGGGACCCCCCCTCCCCCATGTCCCATCCTGTCACCGTACTGATTTCTCCTAGACGCAGAACCAGAGCCCCGGCAGTGAGTGTCATCTGGGGCATCTCGGATGTCACTGGACTCCATCCCTCGGGATCCTTCCTGCTCAGGCGTTTAAACAGGGAGCGGCTTGGGAGTGGCTCTAGCAGCCCACGGAAGCCAGAGAAAGACATTAGCAGGTCTGCCTCTTCGGTGCTTAGGGACTGAAAACAAGCTGAATTTCAGAGAAGCGTTCAGGCAGGGGAGGGGCGGGAGGAGAGTCGCTGTTGGTGCCGGCTTGGTTTTCACGGGTTTAGTTTCCCCCTGAGTGCTAACGAGCAGGCTTGGAGTGAGGAAAAGGGAAAGTAAGGTCCTGGGAAAGACTCTTAATCTTCGCAGCTCCACAACCTTCAGATTTTTTCAGTCAAACTGAAAATGATTCTCAATTTTATTTCTGATGCCTGTTTTCATTTCTTCCCCCCCCCCAAAAAAAAGCAAATATCCTAAACTTAAAAGCATTGTTTCATCTAGTTCCTACTAGATCCTCTCAGAACGGTTTGATTTGCCTGGTAGATGGGACTGAAATGACATGAAAGACACGTTCAATGTCCTCAACATGCAGCATCTGCTGCCTTGAGACTCTTGATTTGGCTGGCCAGCTCTGTCTAGCAGCCTGCAGGAGCAGGACATCCCAGAAAGTAAAGCAAAGCACGGATGTGGCTAGTCCGCATGGTCGCAGGTGCACGTGACCATTATTTTATAAACGGTGATCACTGAAACCAAATGCTTAACCGCTCTCCAGATTCTCTCTGAAAGAAACCCACTAAAGGTCCGCTTGGCCTTGACTGGAAGGACGGGGGACCGAAGGGACATCTGGGAGTAGATGCAGAGTTTGTGTTTGTTCATAAACTTGAATGGAATAAAGGATGGGAACAGTGGGACCTGATGAAATGATCAAAGGCCACTGGAAACAAACACGGGAGTGATGAGAGGAACCTGCTGTGTCACCTCTCCACAGGGGCTGCCTGCAAGGAAGGACAAGCCACCAAATTAATGCAACGGAAAGCAAAGGAAGGCTTACTTGGGTATCAGTAGAAATGTATGTCTTTGGGCAAGTTGCCTCAGTTTTTGCTGTTGTTGTTGTTACTGTTGCTTTTCTTGCTTAGCCAGGCAGTGCTGGGTGACATGACGACAAAATAGTGGCAGAAGAGCTTAACTATAGTTCAGTTAAATCCAAGCTTTAGAGAGACCCTTTCCAGCCCTGTGTAGCCCCAGCTAGCAATGACATCAGGCTGGGTCTGACACTCACTGCCAGTGAGACACACCATGGAATTCTTTCACTGATTGGTAGCCCTACCTGGGTGTCTGACTCCCTGCTTTTTCCTATCCTCCCAGCGTTTTCTGTTGTCATGATTCCCCGAGCATGAGCATGGCTTCCTTCGACAAACCCCCATCTAACAGGCTGAAGGGACGGCTCAGCACTTTGCAGCATTGTCAGTGTTGGCAGTTCGGTTCCCAGCACCACGTGGGAATCATCCCTAACTCCAGCTCCAGGGGCTCTGACACCCTCTTCTGGCCTTTTCTCCATCGCTTCTGGCCTCCACAGACACCAGGACACGTGCAGAGTATATGTATTCACGCAGGCAAAACACTCATACATACAAAATAGAATAAATAAATGTTTGAAGGGACAAATCCGCATGTCTGTGGTTTATGAGAATAATGTACACAGAATCGTCTGAGCTTATGTGGACAGATGGTGAAGTAGTGCTACGATTAGCTGCACTTTTCTTTTCTAAATTTTTTTATTTATTGTTTATTACAGTTTATTCACCTCGTGTCACGGCTTTGGCTCCCTCCCACGTCTCCTCCCAACCCCTCACTCTTCTCCTCCTCTGCCCCTCCGCACATTTCTTATTGTGGAAGTTTTTCAAGGAGTGCACAGTGCATTCCAAAGCTGTCAAGAAACTTAGAATTGTGTACATAATCAGATGTTGGCATTATCGGTCTCTAAATCATTTAAATATCAAGATGTCGTGCACTCATAGGTTTTCACTTCTTGAGTAAGAAACTCTGGTTTATGCAACAGTTAGGTTACTGTGTGAGGCACAGATGTAAAAAATTTGGAACTAAGAATTGTGCATGTTTGCTCTGTGGCTCTCAAGAGCTCTCTCTTTCTCTCTCTCCCTCTCTTTAATTTTTTTGAAAATTTTTATGTCTCCCCATGTAACTATGGCTGGTCTGGAAGTAGCTTTGTAGACCAGGCCAGCCTGGGCTAGCCCTCAGGCTAGCTGGACGTTGTGACTAATATTAGAACTTTTTTTTTTTAAACCTATTCCTTACTATAAAAATATTACTCAAAAAATAAAAGAAAGAAACAAGTCCCAAGACAAGCCAACAGCACTGCAGCCCAGAGGCCAACTAACCAGTCATGCCCAGTGTCTTGGATAGCAGAATTCTGTTTGTCAAACATTGTGCTCTGTTTTGCTGGGAAAACGAAAAAGCAATTTCGGTTTGTACTGAGCTTTACGAAGACATAACCAAGGCCAAACATTCTTAGCTAGACTCTTCCAGCACTCTTTTAACTTAAATAAATTCAAGAGGCACTTGTGTGGTCTGAAAGTTCATGTAGATGAAACCCGGCTGAAATGTTATGTGAAGGGGGCGGGGAGCGCGTGAATAGCCCCGGCGAGGCTGGCGACCCAAGTCTGCGCCTGTCCATAGTGTGAACTGTCCTAAAGGGTCAAACTGTTCATCTTCAGTCCCTCTTTCAGTGTGCAATCCTACTTTAGGAGAACAAAAGCTCAAAGCGCGCTGTTATCAAGAAATGGGAGCCTAGTGATTTAAACTCATGCTCAGCCTTAGAAAGAAAGGGGGCTGAGTGCGTGTAGCCAGAGAAAAAGTTGAAGTAAGGGGAGGGGTGAAGGGGTGGAGACCTTTAGAAAACCTTTGTTCCGTCTAAGAAGCTTGAACTTTGAGATGGCCCAAAGCCCTAAAGTTTAGGGTAGGTGTCTCTGTGGGGAGGTCAGCACGTCGACCTCACAAGTGGCGAGAGGGGACAAATGGTCCAGGCTTTCGACAGATGACTATCGGAGCGTGAAGGAGGGAGCCCTTCCGAGTGCTCGTGGCTCTCCGGAGACGACGCCAGGAGGACGCGTGTCTACACTCGGCAGAAAGACCCTGCCAAACTAGCTGTGGGGCCTGAACCCTAACTCCCCCCACTCCACCCCCAAGTGAGCTGTCCGAAAGGCGCAAAGACAGCAAGAAAGATAAGTTAGCAAATCCTGGGTAGCTTTTATTTGTAGGATGCCTTTGGCTCCCCTGCGGGTGAGAGACGCGGTTTGCAGAG